CTCTCCCTCCCAGCTGGCCGATTCTACCCCGCTTCTCCTCCCGATCTCCCCTGGCCAGCCTGCCGCTTCCTCCCCCCACCGGTGTTCAGCCCTGCTTCCACTGGCCACCCGCCCCTCCCCATCTCCACCGGACAGCCCCGCTGTCTCCAACCCTGCTTCCCAGCAGCCGGTTCCTTCCCCACACACACCTCCTCCCAGCCTGCCCCACTCCCCTCCCGGCAGCCACACTGAGGCCTGGTATTTTTTTCCCCGGGCCACAGCCCATAGTTTGGGAAAGCTGGTCTAGAACTTGTTGAAACCAAGACAAGGCCAGCCTTGAAAGTACATGGAGAATGGACTTATTTTCTTCCTTCTGTTCCTGTTCTATATAGGTGGTGTACGAATGGTGTATCCTTCAGCTTTTGTTCTCATCTCCCAGAATGACATCCCTGTGTCTCAAAGTGCCTCCAGTGCTGGAGGCCACATCATTATGTGTCAGCAGGGACTTGGAAGCATGAAAGATCCCAGTAATTGTGGGATGCCACTCACTCCACCCACTTCCCCAGAGCAGGCCATGATAGGTAAGCAATAAACCTAGCAAAGAGACTGAATCATCCAATTGAAAACTCATTTTAAACATTGTTTTTTTTTAATCAATTCAGTGAGAGGCAGTTTTTCTTAATCTCTTCTAAATGTAGTCTTTGTACTAACTAAAGTGTTACTTACTGAAGTGTACTCCAGCATAGTGGGCTTTCATTTTTCATGATTGGGGGATAAATGTGTGAACAGCAGCAGAAAAAAAGAGAGAGAATACGCTAATGAGTAGAACACCGGGAATTTCACAAGTTCACAGAACAGAAGAGTTACCAGTTTTGTGTGAGTTCATTCTACCCAGTTTATTGGAAATCTGTTCATTTATGAGACAGCATGAACATGTGAGAAGAAAGAAAGGATCAGGTCATGTCAGAATTCTTAATTGCATACTTTTTAAAGAGGATTGTAAGGATTTATTAGTTAATCACTGTAAATTATTACAAACATGAAAAACATCATATAATTCACATAACTATAATATTAAGCATTAATATTGGAAAAATTCCAGTATCTGAATGATAGTCACTGTTTTGACCAGTGTAGTTGGAATTAAAAATAAGGATCTCCAGACAAAAATGCTAAAAGTAAAACCAGGCTCTGCGGTTGAAGGATATAATGAATTCATATCCTCTGTGGATGACAAAATGAAGGGGTCACATAAAACTCAATGACTGAACAAAGGAAGCTCATCCCAAGCATCTAAGGCCCCAAAACAGTTTGAATCCCAGTGGGGTCCACATTTACATGACAGCTGACTCCAAGGATTCTACTTAAATTCAGTAGAGTTGAGTAATTTACGTCAGCTAAGGTACTGGCCTATTCTGTTGTTATGACACATGTTCTCTATACTTCTGTTTTCCAGTTTATTCTTACCGCAGACAGTTGCATGTAAACTGTATCTTTATTTCCAAGAAGTTCATCTACCTATGCTTTTTGATCTCAGGCTGGTCATGATACTACGTGACAGTACACTTACTTGTCACAAAGGTGATTATGATGTCTGTGTAGATCAGTTCTAGATTATGCTTTTTGCATCATTTGATTTCAGAGATTTGCTGGCCATTAAAATATATTAATAAATTCCCTGATTTCAAGAAGCACTGGCATGTTTTTTAATTCAAACTTCAGTGCTGAAATTGTGGTTTGGGTTCATAGAAAATTCTCTAAATAGAGTCATGCATGCATGATCATTATAGTATGCTTAGAATGAAATTTTGGACAATTTCATTTATTAGCTGCTTATTTTAGAACAGTTTGTTTATTGTGTCAGTTGGTTCTTAAAACCACATTTTCTATACTATCCCATCCAGTTACACAAATTGAATATTGACTTTAAACATTATGCGTGAAAGAACCTAAGTCAGTTGCAAGCTAAACATGCTGTGCAGAGGGCATTGGACAATCATACGGAAATAGTATAAGTTATAATGCAAACTAGCAATTTAAATAATATAGAATCATAGAAAGGGAGGGCTGGAAGGGACTTTG